GGTCCTCCACCCACGGTCCTCCACCCACGGTCCTCCAAACATAGACTGTGAATCTGAAAAGTCTGGTTGATCTTAGAGTTCCTGCACTTTGTAGGGCTCGGGACACTTGCTCTCTAGAGCTTAAAACTGAGTTTTGAGGGAAACGATACTGATAATCTAAAAAGCTATTATCTTAAAAGTTGAAGAGTAGGAGCAGCATAGGCAATGACTTGACTGTTTTGAACATTTTCTTCAGATAAAATATAGCAGAAGAAAGCTCGTCCGCCTGCTGATCTCACCCCAGACCGCTCTCAGTGGCAACCTGGACACTGTCGAGACCCCTGCTGTCCCCTCTGCCACTCCTGAGGAAGGGACTTACCATCCCAGCTCCCAAGCTGCTCGTGTTTGTGCTTTATACACGCTTCTTGGCTGTTGAAATAGCAACAGTCTTCTAACCATGGCCCTGTACTGTCTATCGCAAAGCTTCCGTCTCTCTTCGCCAGTACTGTTAGTTCAGTCCGACTTTACCATCTTGCCTCTTGGGTGATGTTATCATAGTGGATGTAATTTTTTCTATAGCAGGCCTGTAAGTTTACTCCACAGCATTCAGGACTGGTTTTACCAAGTCCACGATGCCTCAGTCAAGTCCACACGTGGTCTTCTCTACCCCACTCACCAGCTGTCCACACTGGTTTCCTGGACATGTGGTCCTGTGGCCACATAACCCTCTTCCCACGCTCAGCCCTCATTGAGAGTTGTCATGTCTCACTTGGCCACCAACTGGGTGAACCACACACACTAGCTTGAAAGGAGTTAGAGGGAAGGATGGTGAACTGAACAGAGAGGGTGCAGGACAGCCCTGCCCGACCTACATGTTGATTCTGAGACTGAACACTTTTAAGGTCTCGCCTTCATGGGCCAGGGAGATGGCTCAATGGATTAAGCGCTTCCCTGGCAAGCACAAGGGCCTGAGTTCAATCCCTGGTTCCGCAAAAAAAAAGGAAAGGAAAGATCTTGCCTTCGCTTTCTGCTTCTGTGCCTCGACTAGGGGACTGGAGCTGTGACAGTGGCCTTGGAGTAGTTTGCTAGCTTTCAGACTCCCTACTGTCCAGCTGTTTAAAGATTTGTATTTATATTACACTTTCAGGATGTCTGTGTCAGCCAGCTTTCCACTCCTGTAATGCCCACCTGAGATAGCCAGCTGGCTCACCACTGGGGTTCGGTCCACGGTCTGCTGGACACAGTGCTTTCGCCAGAGCCTCTGGGAGAAGGAGCAGGTGATGGCAGAGCAGCTGCACTGCTGAGCTGCTGTCCTTGTGGCCTAGATGTGCAAGCAAGAGGCAGCACGAGGGCAGGCCAGGGGCCGTGAGCACGCCCCGAGACCCAGCTCCCTCTGGTTCTCACGTCCTGGAGGGCTCCCACAGGCCAACAGCACCACTCCGAGAGTTGGCCTTTCCTCTCGGGCCTCCGTGGGACACGCCACACGCAGGCTGTAGCAGCTTCCGAGCTCCTGGGTGCTCATTTTGGGTACTGTGGCTGAAGCTCAGGTTCTGGGGTTCTTCTCACTTTTTCCTCTGAGAAATCTAACATTTGCTCTCTACGTTTCTCCAGGAAATCAGCTGGCATGTTAAGTGCTCATTGATCTTGTGCTGCTTGAGGCAGCATCCCTCAAGCTTTAGTGTAGCTCAGGCCCTCCTGGAAGAGTCGCTAAATATGAAGATAATGGAGTCCCAGATCCAGAGCCTGATCTGAAAGCCTGGAGTGTGGCATAGGAATCCACATTTTATTAATCCTTGAAGAGCTTCTGGCCTGTGTTGGCCGGGGCCATCATGCCTTGCGAATGTGGCATTCATGAACTTCTTCATGAAATGAGGAGCCATATGCACCCACCACACACACCCCAGCTGGCACACCCCCCGGCTGGCACGGGAGCAAGCTGTGGCCACGTGGATTGGTGGTGCCCCAGAGCTCCAGGGCCTGGACAGCTTAACTTTATGATTCTTTTTCTCTTTTCTCTCTCTCCTTTTTTTTTTTTTTTTTAAGCATTTGAACTTAGGGCCTCGTGCTTGCCAGGCAGGGACTTGCCCACTGGGCTAATCCCTGGCCTCGTGCTTGCCAGGCAGGCACTTGCCCACTGGGCTAATCCCTGGCCCTGCACTTAACTTTAGAGTCACGCTTGGTAATTAGAGACAGTGCATAACGCACACAGAAACTGATACTGAGGTGTTGCCAGGTGCTAGTGTAATAAAAAGGACATCATTTTATATGTTCCTAGAATTTGAGAGCCAGAAGAGACCTCAGAAAATACCAGTTCTGTCCTCTAGTTTTCCAAAACTGTGCAACACACACACACACACACACACACACACACTCGTGCATGCACACACACACACCATTCGTCACTCCATGCACGCTGATCTCCGTCTTGTTGGACACCATAGCAGAAGAAGGACGTGCTGGCCTCCCAGTCTTCTAGCTCTGCTTGTCTGACTTTAGCATCATTCATCTGAAAAAATCTTCCATGATGCAAAACTTGTTCCCAGATGATTTCTTATACCAAGAAGAAACCAGCCCTAACAGGGGCCGGGGAGATGACTCAGTAGAATAAGCATTTGCCTGGCAAGCGCAAGGGCCTGAGATACAGCACTCGACAGGGACAGGTGTGGTGTGCATTCGACATCCTGTGTTCTTAGAAAGCAAAGTTTTCATTCCCCCTTCTCATTCTCCCTGTTGAACATGGAAATGTCTTTATTGACCCGTGACTTACGGTTGCTTCCGGCCTTCATGGATGGTGACCACAGGCGCCTTTATTTTCACAGCATTATGGTATTTTAAATCTTGATCACATGTCCCATGCTGGGTGATGAAGACGTTGTGGCTCCCGCAGCCCCCCGTCTGCTTCCATCCAGCTGTCCAAAGGCCTTGTGCTCAGCTTATGAGGCAAATTCCTGCCAGTTAGTTCCAAGAGACAGGCCTATCTTTGAAGATTTTGTAAAACCTTTTTTTTTTTGTCAAGAAATGGAAAGTATGCGACCGCGCATTTTCTTTTCTGCCTTCACTGCCAGAAGATTGAGAGCCACATTTAGTGATAACCTTTGCTTGGAAGGCTGGCAGTGTTTCTCCGCTTCCTGATCTCTATTCTTTTACTTTGCTTTTTTAAAATCTCTAATGGACCTATTCAGCATTTTTAAAATTGAGAGCTAATAAAAATGCTCTGGGGGGTAGAACGGCCATTTGTTTTCATGTGCGTTTGGTTTGACACAGCGCCATGCATGAATTTTTCTGGCCACCATGAAACGGGCATGAGAAGGGAGTAGCTGGTTGTGCAAGCTCTGAGACGGGAAGGCAGTTAGGAGCAAAGCCAGGGGCAGAGCGAAGGGTTTGAACCTCAGCCCCTGAAGATGCTTTCCTGTGCCTACAGTCTGTCACTGTGCCCCAGGCTCAGCACGAGGCCCTTTGGAAATGTCGCGTTGACAGCATTGGAGCTGCCAATAAAGTTTGCCATTTGCCTTAAATCACAATGTGCTGAGACAGACAAAAGATGGATTTCAGCAGGGTGTGGGCTCCAGCCAGGGGCCACTGCGTCCAGGAGCCACCACGTGGGTCTTCCCTACCTGGGGCCTGTGGTGGAGCCTCTGCTCCATCCCCCAGGGCATCAATGCTGGGGGTGCAGGATTGCACCCCTCCCTGCTGGGTCCAGGATTAGATCATGGATTTGTGAGGAAGCCAGGGGACAGGTGGCCAGGAGAGTCTGGGGAGCGCTGAGCCTCTCAGGAGAAACCTGGCTGATTTAGGATGACAGCACAGAGATGTACATATGTAAATTGCTTCTCTAGGTATCTGTTACTTTTCTATCTTTGCTGACACAAAATACCGACACCCAAAGTAGGGAAGGAAGGGTTTGTTTAGCTGACAGTTTGTGGAGGTTTCAGTCCATACTTGGCTGGCTCTAAGGCAGAGGAGTACAGGGAAGAGGGCAGCCATTCAAGGCAGTGGAAAACAGCAAAAGCAGCAAGAGCAGAAGGGAGGAGCAGCAAGAGCCAGCCCCTCTCCCTCCCTTGCATTGTGTGCAGGCTCCTGCCCCAGGGAGGGCGTAGCACTCGCGCCATAATCCCAGCTCTGGACCACGAGTCAGTCCTAATCTCTAGAAGCCCGCACCATGACTGCATGAGGCTCTGGGGGACATCAGACACACCCCATACACTGGGTGAAGAGGAGATCTTTGTTGTTCTGTGTTTCCTTGTCTGTCACCCTTCCCAGCTATAGCAGGTACCCATGAATTTGCCTTCTGAGAAGATGTGCTCTGTGGGTGTAGGTAGGGGAGTGGTCTCCCCACAGCCATGGGGAGAGGTGTCCGGCTGTCTTAGGGCTGAACATGCACATAAACCTATCTACTTACAAATGCTAACACACATAATGTTGTTGAGTCACATACAATTAAATCATCTAAAATTCGTTTTGTTTTGTTTTGAGACAGGGTCTTGCTATGTAGTTCGGGTTGGCCTTGAACTCACCATGTGGTCCAGGCAGATCTTGAACTCCTGGTGATCCTTTGGTCTTAGCCTCCTGATTGCTGGGATGTAGGCATGCCAGGAAGTAGTATAATATTTTAATGTCTTGTGTCTGCGTGAGGTTAGAGGGAAGAAGTTGACCTTCGTCTGGAAACATGCTCTTGTTGGGAGGGTACCAACTGAAGCACGCAGGAGAGGGTATGGGCTGCCACTAGGTTACCATTAGTCACCCACTTTTCTTCTAAAGACTAAATGCACTATAATTGGGAATAAATATTGTGCAGACACAGAAGTTTCCAGCTGTGAGTATTTCACCTAAACTAGAATAAAAAAAGGAAAATCAAGTTTTGGTAAAAAATAAATGCCATATTAATTTTGCTATGAATACCGAAGTTATGAAGGTACCAAGTCCATGTGTTTTGGGGACAGTCTGCTGGCACTGCTCTGTCCCAGGTGGGCGTTGTGGGACGATCTGGAAGGGTTCTCTGCACTTAGAGATGTTTTAGGAGGTTGGCTTGGTAACCACGGGGTGGACTTCAGGCCCAGGAGTGGCAGGTTCCAGAGGCCTGGCGAGAAGGGCCGGCTGGTGTGGCAGTCAGCAGCTTGTGCAGGGCCATTGTGTGTGTGACCAGCCTGTGTCATGCATGGCGGGCACAGCGGGTGCTGAGGCTGCTGAGTCCCCGCCCCTCTCTTTACCCCTCCTGCCTCTCACTCTCCCATAGACTGGGAGGCACGTATCGATAGCCACGGCAGGATCTTCTACGTGGACCATGTGAACAGGACCACAACGTGGCAGCGGCCCACAGCCCCGCCGGCCCCCCAGGTGCTGCAGAGGTCGAACTCCATCCAGCAGATGGAGCAGCTGAACCGGCGGTGAGGCCTTGCTCCTCTGTGTGTGGGTGGGGTGCTTGCAGGTGGGACGGGGCTGTCTCTGGACTCCTGTCATTGTGCTGTGCCTGTCACCATGGAGTCCCACACTTCACCGGGTCTCTCTAGGTTAAAAAGATCCCACACATGCACAGCTTGTTTGGGGACCCAAGCGGGAATAAGCCATGAGGACCCTTGAGCTGGCCCTTGGCAATGGCTTTCAGTAAAGCAGGTGAATAATCTGAAGCCAAGCTTCTGCCCTCTACCACCTCTCTTTGCGATGCATCTTGTCACCTGAAGCTTTTTTAATCAGCCATTCTTTTTTCTTTTTTTAAACAAATTTCTGTGGAGTGTAATTTTTCTCTCAAGTTTTCTTTGGTTAAGGACCATGACTTTGTTTTTAAAAAAGGTAAATTTACTTGTAAGGAAGAAGTTCCACAAGAAATGGGTGGAAGAGCTCAGTGCAGTGCAGTTTCCTAAGAGGACAGACGGCCCATGAGTGCCAGGGCCAGGGCCAGGGGAGCAGGCAGCTGAGCCCAAGGAGCAGGGAACGGCCTCTGGTTTGGGGGAGCGGGAGTCCCATCCTGTGAGCTGCTGGAATGTAACCCTGGGCTTCTGCTTTCAGTTACCAGAGCATCCGCAGAACCATGACCAACGAGAGGCCGGAGGAGAACGCCAGCACTATGGATGGGGCTGGGGAGGAAGCCGACTTTCACCAAACCAGCGCAGGTAGGAGCCTGGGGTCGGTTTGCTTCTGTGACCACCTGAACATAGAGAAGAACCAGTAAGCTGAGTGCTTGATCTTCTCCAAGGTCTGCTAACCCACCTGCAAAGCTAGAGCCTCCCAGAAACCTCTTCAAATCCTTGACCTTTTGCCAGTACTCAGAAAAGAATCACAAAACTACATAGAATATAAATTGCTATCATCTCTGAATCTGTGGGATGGTGGAAAAAGAGTCCAGTCATTCAACGCATATTGTAAGGATGGGCTAAATGCTAAACTAGGGACAAGAAGTGTTACTCCATTTTATTTCAGTGTAATTAAAAAGAGTTGGGTCTTATGCACAGATTTATAGCAAAGAGAAAGGATTTAGGGGAAGGGAACCTTAGCAGATGCTTCAGGCATGGGTCAGTTCTGTGGCAGCACGGGCTGCAGGGAGTAGCGCAGCCCTGACTGCCTGTGCCGTGTCCGCAGACTTCCGCCGGGAGAGCGTCCTGCCGCACTCTACCTCCAGATCCAGGCTCACGCTGCTGTTACAGTCGCCCCCCGTGAAGTTCCTCATCAGCCCAGAGTTCTTCACCGTGCTGCATTCTAACCCTGTGAGTAGCGGGCCAGACAGCGTCCTCCTCATGCACGTCACCAAAGAGTGACCACAGCCCATGGCAGCCACGCCCTGTCAGGTGCATTGTGGTCTAACTCACCTCGTCCAACAAAGGGTCGTGGTCCTGTGGACTGCTCTAACTCCAGCATCGTCGAAAGCAGAACACCTAAAAATGAGTGGCTTATAAACTAGGCAGACACAGTTCTCAGTGTTCTAAAGGGTGGCGGTCCCAGGTCAGAGTGTGGTCAATTTGGAGTCAGCAGGATGACCTTCGGACCCCTCGGCTGCGCCTGCCCATGGCACAGAGGGTGAGGGGCTGTCTCGGGCTTCTCCTGCGGGACACTGGCCTCACTGGGCTGGCTTACTTTGGTGCCCCACTTAGCCCCTGCCAGTACCCCAGTGATGGCGCATTTCTGGAGATCACATTTAGAACACAGGAGGAGGGGCAAGCCGCTGGAGTTAGGGCCTGACTCTCGAGGGAGACCGCTCAGAAAAGAGTGGAGGTGGATTTGCATCTGAGGGGATTTTGAAGCCTGAGTAAGAGCTTGTCGTGGACACACGGCCAGAGCACGCAGGCCAGCGGTGGTGAACCTGCAACACATGACAGAGCACATGGCAGAGCACACATGCCACTGTGGGCTGTTCGCGTCACTTGAAGCAGTGGATGGTGGGAGGAGCAGCACCTGCAAAACCCTCGTGAAGCTCAGGGCGCCTTCATAATCCTACAGAGGTGCCGGCGCGGGCCGGGCCACGCAGCAGTTTGCGTGCGCTGTGCTGGGAGCACTGGGCACCTGGGAAATCCGACTTGGGGCTGGAGTGGCGGACTCGAGCCAGGTATGCACACCTGAGCTCCTTGTGTGTGGCCATTCCCAGAGATGACAGCTGTGAGAAACACAAAAGAGCCTGCCGTTGTGGGGGCTATTGGACTTGGAGTCAGAAACTGAGCTTCCGCTGGTTTGTTTGTTTTTGTTCACCTATTCATTCAACCAATATTTAAGTGTTGGTGATTAGCCCTGGTGTCCAGGCTCTCGGGATAGTGTGGCAAACAAGACCAAAGGGCCTGCAGGTAAGACGTGAGTGAGAGTGGGCAGGACACCTCAGATGCTGTGGTGTGGTCCTCGAGGACTGAGAGGCTGGGGACAGGCTGAGAAGGCCGCACTCGCACCATCTCACAGCGCCAAGGAGCCAGCAAGGCAGAGGCTGCAGCCCTTGCTGAGGAGAAGCTCCGCGCTAGGCCAGGACCAAGGGGGACGCGCCCGCCAGGTGGGAGCACCAAACAGCAGGCGGGGAGCAGGCTGCTTTGCTCTGGCAAGGAACTCCAGTTTTATTCTAAGTGGATTTCATTCTAAAAGCTTTTCCTTCCTGGAAGTGACTTACATTTCTTCATTTGTCCGAGCTGCGGTGCAGAGAATGAGTTTAGGGGGCAGAGGAGGCAAAGCCAGCTCCAGGGAGGCCAGTGCATGCCAAGGCTAGGGCACTCAGAGGGATGTGGACCTGTGCGGCATCAGGAGCGGCCAAGACCCAGGCTGACTCGGGCTGGGTCCTGGGGAGAGATGCAACGTGGGGGTGAGAGAAGGGCCTTGGGAGGGCCGAGGTGATTGGCCAGCAGCATCCAGGGCAGTGCCTTGGTTCATGAACTTAATTTGTTCTACAATTTTGGAAAAGATGCCAGACGTGGTATTCATCATCTTGCATGGAGTTTGCAAATGGAAGCAAAATTTTGCTGAAGGCTTCTGTTCATGAACTGACCCTCTTCCCCAGAATAGTGGAATAAATCAAGTTCGAGTAGCGAGGTACTTCTATAACAGGATGGCGGTGTGCTCAAATGCTTTTGCTGATGCACTGCACTTGTGTTTCAGCAGCCAGCAGCCTTGGCGACCCGGGAGCAAACGGTGTTCTGGCTAGTGCGAGGGAGCCAGGCTCGGTGAGACGCAGGAGTGAGAACGCACGCTGTGGCCCAGGGGCCAGCCTGCTCCAGCTTGAGCTGAGTGACTGTGACCACTGCGGGGTGGCCGGGCTTCATTGCGTGTGTTAAGCCCTCACTCCAGAGCGGCATACTGTGAAGTGTAATTTGTGTGCTCAGCCTTTAACTTTCTCCACTACATCTTGAAAAAGGCAGACAATTTTTTCTTTTTCTTTTTCTTTTTTTTTCTGTAAAGGGCAACAGAGCAAATAATTTTCGGCTTTGGGGCCAAGGACAGTGTGTAAGCATATGGTCCGGCTGCCTGCTGGTGACACTCTATAAATGGATGTGGACAGATGGCCCATGGTCTGATCAATAAAGGAAGCCACGGATTGCATGTAGATTTCTATAGTGTGAGCGGCCCTGCTGCGGCCACTGCAAGCTGCTGACATCACGGGGCTCTGTGGCAGCCTCTGTGGCCCCGCTTCTCCCGCTGTACTGCTTCAGGCAGGGTGGGCTGGGGCTGAGGCCCTCTGGCTGGGTCGGGAGCTGGCTGCGGTTTAGCATGGAGGTTTTAAACGTGAGCGCGCATTCCTGGTTCCTTGGGCATTCTGGTTAAGTGGCTCCAGAGGAGGCCCCGAGAGCCTTTTCTCTTCAGGTCCCCGAGGTAACTGTGACACAGGAGGGCAGGACCTGTACTTAGGAAGCCCTAGTACAGCACAGCATTATGCCTCTGTGCTCGCCAGCCTCGTCCCAGCTGTAAGCTGCCTGGACTCCTGGCCGCCCACACCACAGTGTGAGTCCTCACAGCTCACCAGTTTTCTCGCTTGTTTTGTTTTCGTGTCGTTGTGCTCCTCTTTCTACACCTGGAAATGATATCAACATGCCTTTTTCTGGGCGCTCTGTCTTGATTTTAAAGTATTCTTTCTAGAGCATTCGATGTTTTTCTTCCTTCTGTCCGACTGTTGGCTAGCTGATGACCCAGGCCACGTGCCTCTGCATTTCTATACGCTTCAGAAGGCTCCTTTCTCTGATGTACAGGTCGTGAAATTAAAGTAGTTGGATTTTTCTGGCTAAAGGTCTTAGAGATCCAAACTGCCAGAATAAGGCAGATGATTTTTTTTTTTT